CGTGTATTTCTATATTTTATTCAGTGTTGATATCGGTATTTGAAACCCACGTGTATTTCGATATTTTATTCAGTGTTGATATTGGTATTTGAATCGCACGTAAATTTTTATATTTTATTCAGTGTTGATATTGATATTTGAATCCCACGTGTATTTCTATATTTTATTCAGTGTTGATATTGGTATTTGAATATCATGTGTATTTCTATATTTTATTCATTGTTGATATTGATATTTGAATCCCACGTGTATTTCTATATTTTATTCAGTGTTGATATTGATATTTGAATCTCATGTGTATTTCTATATTTTATTCAGTCTTGATATTGGTATTTGAATCCCACGACTACTTCTATATTTTATTCACTCTTGATATCAGTATTTGAATCCCACGACTACTTCTATATTTTATTCAGTCTTGATATTGGTATTTGAATCCCACGACTATTTCTATATTTTATTCAATGTTGATATTAATATTTGAACCTGTACGATACTTTATATGTTCACAGACTTTGTTTGTTTGAAATCAAGCACAAAGCTACACAATGGGCTATCTGTGCTCTGCCCACCACGGGTATCGAAACCCGGTTTCTAATGTTGTAAGTCCGCAGACGACCAAGTCAGAAACCGTTAAAGTCCGTGTGGAGTCAAACTTTCCTCTTCCATTTCTATGATAAGTGTGGGGACCATGTCCCCCAGTGGACACGGCAGATAGCCGCTGTGACTTTACTATAAAAACACACACCGACACACTCTTAGTGTGGAAAGTGAAGCAAAGCCATATTTCTAGTGTGCAAAAAAATAAGAAATACACACACATATATATATACACTAAAAAATCAATATATAAAAAATTAAAAAATATATATAGACTAAATTTTGATAAAAAAATGTTCATATTAGATTCTAGACATGGTTCCATTAAACAAAACTTGCGTAATATTACTACTATAGTTTTCATTGATTCGATTTAATCATATCTAATAGTCCCCCCGGTAGGACAGCGGTAAGTCTAAGGACTTGCAACGCTAAAAATCAGGGGGTTCGATTTCGCTCGGTGGACACGGCAGACAGCCCGATGTGGTTTTGCTATAAAACACCCCACAAATGTGATAATCTAGTTTTTTAATAACATTTTATAATAAAAGAAACGTTGTTTGTTTCAAGTTAAGCACAAAACTACACAATAGGCTATCTGTGCCCGGTTTCTAGCGTTGTACGTACGCAGACATACCGTTGTGCCACTGAGGGGGGGGGGAGAAATGTCAGAGCCTTTCATATGAACTGCTCTAACCCTTTTAAATAAGAGTTTGTCTAGTTTCCTGCTAGAAGCTTATAAAAAATGTCTTTGTTTAGTCGATTAAGTAATTAAATTCCTGTTAAAATATACTGGAGTATAAAACTTACTTGACCAATTTAATAGTTATTAATTTACGGCTATTTTTCCTTCATCATTTATATTATTAAGCTGTTCGTGCTATTTAAGCGAAAACCTACACAATGATCCATCTGCGCCCTGTACACCGCGAGGAATCGAACCCCGGATTTTAGCATTGTATGTTCATAAACTTATCGTTTATCCACCGGGGGGGGGGGTATATTATTAATAAAACAACATTATGTTACACAAAGTAGCGGCTTTACTTTTACTTACTTCTCAGGGACCAGCTTTTGAGTTTTCTCACTCCAAACACCAGTTTCAGCAAACTGGACATACATTGACTGGATATTTCCATTTTTCCACTAGTGCGTATGAGGTTAGGAAGAAGGGCACGGTAAAGAGAGGCAATCAATTTTTTGCTTTCCTTTTCAGCCTCCATCCAAATCTCCGGAACGGATTCCGTTGAAGTAGTAGCTATAATCTCCTCCAGATGTCCTGGGGTCTTCATTAAAATTTTTGGTGATTTTGTTGACCTCAACAATCCTGCTGTTGGACTTATAGAGATAACTTCTGTCAAATTTCCTGGGGAGCTTGAGGTCAGCGTCTGTGACTGAAGTGTTTCAAAAACTTCCGAACTGTTACTTGTTTGAATAATTGGTTTATGTCCATTTTCAATACGCTCCGGATTTACAAACCCCACAGAGAGGTATACAAAACAAAACAAGTTATAAAAACCTCTAGAGGAAACAACATTCATTTTGTATGCGCCAATGTTACGAAAATATTTTTTTGAATTACACGATAATTTTTACACGCTCCTTTTGGCCAATTTCAGTTTTCGCTTACTTTTGGTTTAAATACACTTCTTAGCTTTGGCACTGAACCTGAGAAAGCAGGAAAGTTTCGTCGACATAGTTTTCTTCCACTATCCACCGTGTTTATCGCTTCTATAACCCTTATTTCTGATTGGGCAGGAGCTCAAGTGCATTATTTATTAGGTTGTTTTTTTTTCAAGAAAGTTTCGTCAACAAGTTTTCTTCCACTAGCCATCGTGTTCAATGCTTCTTTATATCACTTATTTCTGATTGGATGAGAGTTCAAGAGTATTTGTTTCTTTCATTACCAGAGCTTCTCGAGCAGTTGACCCGATTATTTGAAAAACTGGTTACTACAAGCGTTAAAGAGCGTTGCCTTTTATTTCTACCCCCCCCCCTGCTTGCCTTAATACCGGTGAGACAGTTTCTTCTCGCTCCATGTAGGCCAATAGAGTAGATTATAAATATCAGTTTTTTGTTTACCTCTTTGTTTTATATGATTAATTTAATGTACTATCGTAAAAGAAGAACACTGGTAGCCAACAAGAACTACATCCAAAACTATCACTCCAGCTAAAGTTAGAAAAACTAAGCGTCGGTGATCTAATAGCTGTAATAATTTAAAACACTGGTGTATACCATATGTGCGAGAAAAAGTAACATGTACGTTTTTTTTACATAAATTGTGTTTAATATACTATAGTTTATTTCATTTAAGCAATGATGTAAAAACATTACATTAAGAACTCTTGGACATTTTCGCCGTCATCATTTTTTTCTGAGTGGCCAACTAATATGTATAAGTATAAACCCTATTATTTAGTGCATCAATTTACTACTTAATCACAGCATTTTAAATGCCGTTATTCAATATATTAATTTACTATTTAAGAATGCTTGGCATTTTTAAATGCCGTAAGTACTTTGTCCTGATATCTATTCATTTTCTTTCATTTACATTCTAATATATATACTAGCGCACAGCCAATCAAAATGATGGGGCAAGTACTACCACCCCTACCCCATATTATATCCTAACCGCACATTTCATAGCTAACTGAAATAAATTAATTTTGGCGAATCAAGCTTGACCAACAAAGAAGCAGAAAAGTGCAGTCGAGGCAGACACACGTCGGTAAATTCCTTTGTGAGCCAATCAAAATTAAGATCGTTCATGAAATGAATTCGTGGCGTATTCAGAAAATAATTATCGGTAAAAATCAGTTAGATTAAAAACTTTTAATATTATAGAAAAGCCAGAGCGTTTTGGTAACACTACGTTCCAACAATGCTTAGCAACAAAAGTATAACCTAATATTGTTGTTAGTCTATGTACTTAAAGTATAAGATGAAATGTATAGACAACAAAACTGGAAAAATATTTGTTGATTTCTTAATTTTATGTCTCCATTTACTAAATAGGTTTGTTTTTTTATTAAAAATGTTGGTGATATAACAGAAAATATCTTAATTCAGAAACTATTTAAATTTAAAAATTGAATCGATATTTTTACTTTCATGATAAATTTTATGCACTTGATTCCAGGCTAGGTGATCCTAACACTCACTACACTTATAAGGTTTCACTTCACACCCCTCACACGGGTCCCTTGCACCCCCCGTCACTAAA